GAAATGATCCGGGTCCTGATCGAGAGTAAGGGTCTGGCCGAGGGTGATATTGGGGTCATAACGCCTTACAGACAGCAGGTGTGCAAGATACGGGGCGCGCTCGAAGCTCTTGACTGGTCGGGTATTAAGGTTGGGAGTGTGGAGCAGTTTCAGGGGCAGGAGAAGCAGGTGATTATTATATCGACGGTGCGTTCAACTATAAAGCATAATGAGTTTGATAAGGTTCATTATCTGGGGTTCTTGAGCAATCCGAGGAGGTTCAATGTTGCCATTACCCGGGCCAAGTCTTTGCTCCTGGTTATTGGGAACCCGCATATACTGTGCAAGGTATGTTTGAGCATTTATCTGCTTGTGCTAATTTGTAAATTGGTGTTTTATAACATGCTTAGATTTCAAGTAACATACTAACTTCAACGAAACTTTTGTTATGAACCCTTATTCTCAAGACCAATAATAAACAAGAGGCTAATCTTCCTTAAATCCGGACCGTTCTTGTGACATGACCCATGCCTATTTCTGCTAAGAAACTTGTAACATATTGTTCTTGCGTATGCTAATACTCATAGTTGCATGTGTGTGGTAGGATCCGAACTGGAACAATCTCTTATGGTACTGTGTGGAAAACGGCTCTTATAAGGGCTGCTTCCTTCCAGAGAAGGAGATATTCATTGCTGATGAACCTGTGAAATTAGGTCCGACTGATGGACAATATTACACGGGCTATGATGGTGAGAATAATTTTCAGTCTTCGAGTGGGAACTGGGATGACGCAGGAGATGGCTGGCAGATGCCTGAAGCTCAGTGGGGCCCCACCGAAGATAATAATGACCAGAGCTATGACGTGAAGAACGACTTTCAGCCATCCGAAGGGAAATGGGATGAGGAAGGAGATAAATGGAAGACTTCTGATGTTGATTGGTGCCTTGACGAGCATATTAATAATGAGACCTCTGGCGTGGAGAATGGCTTCCCGCCCTCCAATGGGAAACTGGATGAGGAAGGGGATAAATGGAAGAATTCTGAAGTCGAGTGGTGCCAGGAAGAACATAGTAGTAACAATCAGCCATCTGGCGCACCGT